GATGTCCTGAGGGCGCTGACTGGGGCGAAGGGCCCGATGGTGACATCACTCAGGAATCTGAAGCACGATGTCCTGAGGGCGCTGACTGGGGCGAAGGGCCCGATGGTGACATCACTCAGGAATCTGAAGCACGATGTCCTGAGGGCGCTGACTGGGGCAAAAGGCCCGATGGTGACATCACTCAGGAATCTGAAGCACGATGTCCTGAGGGCGCTGACTGGGGCAAAAGGCCCGATGCTGACATCACTCAGGAATCTGAAGCACGATGTCCTGAGGGCACTGACTGGGGCAAAAGGCCCGATGGTGACATCACTCAGGAATCTGAAGCACGATGTCCTGAGGGCGCTGAGCAGCTATGAAAAGTTCCTCAGCAGCTGAGACGGGGAGAGGGTGAAGGGTGCAGCTCTGGCTGGCTGACGTCCTTCGCACTGCTGCACGAGGGTGGACACCTGCCAAATGCTGGGCCAGCCTTTTGGCTTTCTGATTAACACGGTGCCCAGTGGGTGCCCCCCTCATGCAGATGTGACCTGCAGCTTTGCTGAAAAGTAATATCTAATGCCCAAGTGACTGGGGGGGGGGGGGGGGATGGGTCTCTGCAAAAACACGGGGCCACAGCCTACAAATCACAGTGGGCCCAAATATGCCCAACTTGACAAAATATTAATTAAGCAGAAGTGATGTTAATGGCTTTTGGGGTGATAATTACAGGTCCTGACAACAAGGCGGTGAAATCAAGCCGCCTCACTTCTCTTCCGCCCCCCCCCTTCCCCCTTTCCCTTCCGCATAACAATTTTTCACAGGCGTTATCCTTCGGGTCGCGACCCCCCCACCTAACTGTCCTCGGCCGACACCCCCTGCATTGTCGTTTTGTTTTGCGGTGCTGGCCGGAAGGATCCGCAAATACACCATTTGTACAAAGACGGCAAAACAAATAATCTCAATTTGAGGCGACATCCTTCTCCATTATTCACGCTGCCATCTAGTCGCATTAAGGCGACTTCGTGAGGCTGCCGTAGGAGATGATTCACTGCCTCATAGCCGCACACGGTAATGCATGCGCTCGCAGGAACCTATCGTTGCGGAATGACTACAGCCCCCCCTTCACTCTCCTGCTCTCCCCTACAAAGGGGAACTGTTCTCCTATGCTTACATCGGATTAATTCTTCATGATACAGCCCATAATGCAACATCTTCTGCTAACATGCATGGTGATTCACAAATATATATATGTAGCGTACGATATGAACAGCATCAATGCGGCTCCTTCAGATGCCGCAGCCAGAACTGAAGAGCAAATTTCACAAACTCACTTTGTCAGTTTTTGTTTTGTTATTGTTGTTGTTGAGATCACAATGACCTCAAGTCAGGCTTCCTCATCCTATGTTACAGCGACAGGAACCACAAGAGACACGCTGCATGCGCTAAGTGCCCCTCCATCTTCTGCACCCGCTCGTCCAGTGCTGGGTGATAGAGGTCTGATGTCTAACCAGGAAGCTACATGCGCAAGGTAGGGAATAACCCAGGATGGGGCACCAAACCAGTACAGGGCACACTCACAGCTACAGGTAGGGAATAACCCAGGATGGGGCACCAAACCAGTACAGGGCACACTCACAGCTACAGGTAGGGAATAACCCAGGATGGGGCACCAAACCAGTACAGGGCACACTCA